ATCCTCATTACACAGTGATTTCAGTGATTTGAGGGAGCATTCATTGTCACCGATCAGTCAAAGTTCTTAAATGAACTTTGGAATGGAATTTATTCCATAACTTCATTCTTACATCTGCCACTGCCAGAATTGGGATTTTATAGCTCAGTAGATATGCACAGATCAACAGCTTAATCTTGAAGATGAATCATTGGTTTAGAAATAACATTTTTTTACTTAGAGTATGAGCGTTTCTGGGTTCTAATCCAAAAACATATTTCCATTTATTAACCTCTTCAGCTCTGGGGCCATCTTCACAAAGAATTTTAAGGCCCTAACTGGCGAATTTAGGAGCAACTCCTAAAAATAATGGGCGTGTCACTCCTAAATTTAGGACTCCTAATTTTGTTCACTAAGAGTAATTCACAAAGCATTTCAGCCCTAAAAGTAGCTAAGTCTGGGACAGCTTAAAAGAAGTTGAAAGCACTCCTAACTCACTAAGACCTATTCACAAAGGATTGTAGCGCATACCAGCTCCTGTCGCTGTCGTCCGGGGTCCGCGAAGCAAGCGGGAATGCTGCATTCATCTGCAAACAAACCCTCTCCCATGTCTCATGCTTAGTTTAGCTTGAAATCCCAGTGCCGAATTTCACTTTTATTGTGTTTTTTAAAAAAATTTCTAGCACCAACTGGGCCAGCAGCAGTAACTGATCCTGCATCCAGTTGGGCTTTCTTTCCCATTTTGGCGAGTTCATAATCCACCATCATTCAACTATAACATTACTTCAATAGGAGCAACATGTCTTTGCTTTAAATAGTCTAGTTAGGCTAAAAGAATGTCAATTAACCAACCAAGTGTTAATGCAAGTGTCGTTTTTCATTATTAGGAAAGTGAAGGTTTTCATTATGGTATTAGGCACCATTCACATATAGCGACTAAAAACGCAAGGCGCACCGCATTCTCCCAGTGGTTGCGCTCCGGTTGGTTCTTGTCACGTTACCTATGGTGCACTCCATTCGCATGCGCTTGGAAAAAATCGCACGCCTACATTTAAAATAAACTTGAGCACGCAAAAGACCCGATAAGTGAACACTGCTGCAGGCCCAGGCTACCTTGAATAATTTCATTCAAGACTTTTCTCTCTCTGCCTTTTTAGAATTACGCTTCACTGTGGCCTGCACAAACATGTCACTAGCCTATGCATTTGGATGACATTACTTTTTTTATTGTTATTTTGTGTAGGACACAGACATATTTAGATGTCGTAATTCCATGTTTTGTTGCCGTGTTATGTTCCGCATGATGTCCCTGTCATTTAACAACCAATCACCGTGATCATTGCAAGGAAGCTCGTGCATGAAAATTGACGTCATTCATAGCAACGAAGACTCACTCTTAGTTTAGGAGTTGTCATTTTTCCTTACTAAGAGTTGGTCTGAAAGGCGTTGTGAATAACTTTTAAGAGAAAACTGCTAGCTAAAATATTTTAGTGCGATTTAGTGGTAAGATAAAATTATTTGTGAATACGGCCCCTGGTGTATATTTGGATTCTGGCACATTATGAAATTTTCCTCCAAAACATTTTAACCACAATTACTGGCACCCCTAGACATTTTTATGAGTAAAATATCTCTGAAGTATATTCCCATTAATATTTAAATATGTTAGCACGTAAGGCAGACTAGGAACATGACCTTGTCCAGATATGACTTCTTGTTTCAGAGGAGTTTAAATATCAGGGAACACAAAGGGTGACTTTCCTCAATCATTCATCACAATGAGTAAAACCAAAGAATATAATTCTGATGTACAGCAAAGGGTTGTTGAGCTTCACAAAATAGAAATCGTGAGCTTAGAATTATAAGGTTCTATCTCCACTTTTGGTCGAAATTGAGTTTTTGACATAATCTGATCCATTAGGTGTTTATTAATGCCTGTGTGGTGTTGTTTTTGTAAAAAAAAAAAGATTAATAGATAAAGCTATAATAGAAAATTTTACTACATTACAGTTTTGCCAGGTGGGATGTAAAAACTTTGATGCTCAATATCTCAGAACTACCCTAAACGGAGATAGAACCTTATAATTCTAAGCTCACGAAATGCTGTAAGAAAATAGTTCAATAATTAAGAAGTTCCAATCAACTAAAGATGTTACGAAGAGAGTGTGTGTCTATTGTAGGAGGAAAGTTTGAGTGGCCAAAAAATCTCAAATCTTCAAAAAGAAACACAGATGGAAAATTGCAAAGATTAGTTGACAGATCTGGAGAGAGTCTGTATGGAGGAACGGTCTCTGATCTCTTGTCAGGTGTTTTCCAAATTCATCAAGCATGGGAGAAAACTCAGAGCTGTTATCTTGGTAAAAGGAGGTTGCAAAAAGTATTTAATAAAAGGGTGCCAATAAGTATGGCCAACGTGTTTCAGAGGAAACAAAAATGTATTTTTATTATTTAGTGACATCCTACACACAAACGACTAAACAAAGAGACAATGCAGATTTATTTGTGCAGCCACAATTACCAGTAAAAATTTGATCATATTTACCATGGGTGTAACAATTTGTTCAGGTATTACAACATTTTTTTCAGAAAACGCCATACAATAATAAGGGGAATAGGTTTTAATGTGTTCACATCTTTATGATAAACAGAAAAAAAAAGAATTCCAGCATACAGGGATATGTTAATTGTCTATCTATCACCTTCAAAACAAAATTTATCGAGCTTTTGTTGAAGGGAGGCGATGATGCCTTCAAGCGTCCTTTTTTAGGGTCTCTATTTATTATTTCAGCAGGAAGTACTGTCTGCAAATCTGAATTTAAAAAAAAAAAAAAACCTTTCCGGAGAATAATAAGTGGCAGTATAAATATACATTTAAGTATAAATGTCAGGAAAAGACAGAATAACAATGACAGTGAGGAAAAAGTATGTTAACGACAGGCAGACAAACAGACATGCTGTGTGTCGCTTCTGATTTAAGTGACGAGAGCTCAAGAGAGGTCATGTGGAGGCTACCACAGCATATGCCCTTAAACCAATCTGATATTTCTAGCACACCTCTCTGTGTTCTAACCCAGCAGCTCCAGAGCACCAAAATCTCCATCCCAAGTGGCATCATTAAAGTCAGACAAATTCCCTAAATACTTTAGATTTATCCATTTCTATACTTTCCCCTCCATGTCTCTCTCTCTCTCGCTCCACCTATAATCCTCACTCTTTACCTGCGAGCAACGACCGTTGCACAAACGGTGGTTAACTTGTTACGCTCACAAGTCTGCAGTTAGACTCTCCCTATCATTTCTTTCTTCAGCCACATTTCATCTCAGCTCTTTTATATTACGCTGCTGCACAGACAACCAGCTGAATATCAATTCAATGAATAATCCAATTCAGTCTCTATCTTTTACAAGCAGGCATTTAAAGAGTAAATCTGAGGTTGACATAAGGCTACTCATCGTAAAACTAGAGGTAAATGGACTGAGACTTCCATCCAATGTGATTGTCTGCATTATCAATCAAATGTTCTCTGCTAAAGAAACGGCATATGAATACTAAATCATCTACTGAAGAAACTCAAAGAAATGGATTGTTAGACAAAGATGTAAGTTTGCCATCACTATCAATAGTAATTGACACTAATGGACGACCATGAAGCAGTTCTGTGAATGGACAACTCTTTTGAAACATTTCTGACAGGGTTGCAGCCAAAGAGAGATATATTCTTTTTTTTTTTTTTCTTTTAAGAAAACATTTTTGTTTTGAAACAGTTTTGATTTCTGGAGTGAATAAGAGAGAGATCCTACTAAGTTCAACGATCCTAAGCTTCCCCACTGATGAGAACAAAAACAAACAAACAACCAAAAAAAAAAAACGTTTGAGAATTTTAGTGTATCCTGGTTCCCATACAAATATTAAGCAGGAAAACTGTTTTCAACTGATGATAAGAAGACATATTTCTTGATGTCTAAAGGATCATGAGACACTGAAGACTGGAGTAATGGCTGCTGAAAATTCAGCTTTACCATCACATTAATAAATAACATTTTATAATCTACTAAATAGAAAACTTTTTAATTTTTAATTGTAATCAAATTAAATCGATTAAATCGTTTTAAATCGATAGTTCACCCAAAAATGAAAATTCTCACAGTAAAATTGAATATGCTGCTTTATCTAATAAAAAAAACTGTGGTAACAGATTACAAGCAATATTATTAATTAAATTTAATAAATTAGAATTGAGTAATAATTAATCAAATTAATTCCATAATATTCTATTGATTAGATAAAGCATATTCATTTTTACAGTGCACTATAAAAAGTGATTACTTGACTTAACTTAAAAAAAAAAAAAACTGAGGGAACCTGCTGTTGCCTTAAAATTATTAAGTAAATAAACATTATGGTTAATCAAATAACTAAGTAATGTGGTTTGTCAAGTTCACATAACTTATTTTTTTCAATTAAGCATTAAGTGTATTTACTTAACAATTTCAAGGCAATGGTTTACATTTTTTAAGTAAGTGAACCGAACAATTTACAGTGTGTCATCATTTACTCGCCCTCAGGTTGTTTCAAACCTCTATGAGTTTCACACAAAAGTATATGTTTAAAGAATGTTGGACCCTACTGACTTACATTGTTTTGTCTTTCTATGGAAGAAAGGAGGGTCCATTAACTCTTTGATCACAAACATTCTTAAAAATATCTTCTTCTGTGTTCAACAAAACTCATACAGGTTTAGAACAACTTCTCTCTCTCTCTCTCTCTCTCTCTCTGTATATATATATATATATATATATAATTTTTCACAAACATAGTACAATAGTAGCTTTAAACCTAAAAAGCTGTCTTGTCTGTGAAACAAAAACTAGCAAGGCAAACATACAACAAAAAAACAGTCTACAAATGATCATAATTTTCAGATAAACATGCCGACAGGAAGAGAACATTTCTGCCAACTACGGGTTCATTCACTGTTGATAGATTTCCATACAGACTTAATGCCTGTGTCAATCTGTTACCTGAATCCAGGGCCATCTGTCATTCTCGGCTGCAGTCCAGGCGTTCACAAGACCCTTCTTATTCAGCCGGGCAAAGTAGGGGTACCATTTCTGGAGGCCGAAGAGAGCTCGGTGAGTGGAGGAGGCCGTTATCTGCTGGTTAGAGATGATTCCACCCTCCATGCCCAGTGGACCGGAACATTCTGCTCAATACACAGAAACAACACATGAATGGTGAGGTTAGACATACAGTGTACAGACATGTATCATGGATCTTAGTACAAAATTGTTATTGGCACATCATAAGTTTGATGTGAAGATTCCATGTGTTGGATCCTCAAAGACACAACCACAAGAAGTATAATGTTCACTTTATTGATTACAGGACTTTTAGCCGTTTGCAAGAATCAATACTCTTCTACTGCCTCAGTGCTGTCCGTGACGCTTCCTTTGACCAATCCAGAGTCGGCGTCCTTGTTTGAATCAGTCTGGGAATCACTATCCTTGTTTGTATCCTTCTCTGAGATCTCTCCAATGGACAATGGTCTTATGTTACAAAAATTATTTCCTTTCATTCGGCACATGAGCTGATTAACACTGTCCCATATGGGGACATGATTTCACCAGTAATGAAACCTGTTTTGCATTTTGTTTTCATTAAAGGTAGTCAAAGCGATGTTGGGTGTCATCACTTCTTGTTGACGTTCAAAATATTGTCAAACAAAACGGAGGCTAGCTAGAACCCCCTCCTCCTCATCCCGTCTCCTCCTTTCTGTTGGTTAGGCAAACATGAAAAAAATAGAAATAAATAAAGAGCTACCTGAATGTCAGATTGGAAGCCTGCCTGGCAGAGTTCTAGCCACCTTTCGAAGGCTTTTCCACTGAAAATTTGTGACTTTGTGCATTCCTTATCCTTTTCCCTCTTCTTTGCAATTTGTTCTTCGGAACGTTGTCTCTTTGGTCATGTATCGGCCATGTCAAACTTAAAGAGAATATAATTCTAACTTCAGGCTTCTCTCTCCTCCACAACCCCCTTCATGCACCAACCCCCCGAACTTCAATAAATCCTTCTTGTTGGTTATTGGCTTTTTTATGTTTGGTGTGCGGGTTGCCCCAGTTTGACTTGACTTGACTTGACTTGACTGGAGCCTGAGGTGTCTACAGAGACTGCATTTTTTTTTTTTTTTTGCAGTGGGTTCAGGGGACATGCAGCAAGCAGATACTGAGGAGATGTTTGCTGTATGTGACAAAAAAATATTGGCCTAAAAAAACATGTAACATAGCTTTAGAGGACCTTTAAGGGAAATATCAGCCTTGGTGTTCTCATTTTAAAAATTGTGAAGCTCACACTGAAGTCTGTGATGATAGGGCTGTGACATGTATGGTCTGTCTCCCATGTTTCATAGCGTTTTTGGTTTAGTTTTGTGACCCAGTTTTCCCCAGTCTGTCTAATTAGCCATATCCCTCACCTTTGTCCTGTTAATTATCTAATTAAGTTCCTTGGTAGCACTTTAGAATACGTTCCCTTCGTTAATGAATAACTACACAAGAACCAATGAGTAACACAATATTAACCATCTAGTAACTGTCATTAACTAACAAGAAACTCTGATTAATGAACTAGTAAGTAATAGCGCACGGATAAAAGTGGTAGTTCACTATAATTAACTAATCAACTATTAACTAAAAAGAAACACTGATTAACAAATTAGTAAGTAGCTAAATATATAAAATTTGATATATAAAAAACATATGATATATATATGCGATTCGCACGAAACTAATATTATCACAGAACCCCAGGGTTCGGCGAAATCACAGATAACCTCTGCAGTACAAATGACTAGAGGTCACCAGGTAATACCTAACCTGTGCAAATATAACACAGTCTCATCCCAAAACGTCATATAACTGACGTTTTGGGACGTATTTTGACCATACGTCAATATCCGCCTTTTTAGGGCCCCCTTAAACGTCGGTAGACGGCGATCCCGGGCCGTCATACAACTGACGCTTTACCTTTAACACTAGAAGTGCCAGAATTCCAAAACTACTAGAACGGCCACAAACGGTCATTTTGACCGTTAGATTCAAAACAGTGTTGATGAATAATTATTAATTAGTAATTATTTTTGTCAACCACATTTTTTCAAAGACGAAAACGAGACGATAACTAAATAAAAACTAGGTTTGAATGACAAAAACTATGACGAAAATGTTAGATAGTGACGATTTGCGACGCGGTCAAGGCTATAATAATAGGATTTGCAGAACTAGTGAACAGCCCATGCAGCAAAACAAACAGCACAGGACAGGGCAGCAGAGCTCACCACGATCATCCGACATAAATAGAAGATCTGGATCCGCCGTGTCTGATGATAGCAGCCGTCTCTTTTTGCTTGATGTGGACTCTGACTCTGAATCACTCTCTGATGAGGAGGAAATATTAACTTGCACCCAGGAAACGTCGATGTCACTTTCCACCTCCGATTGTTCCCCTGCATCCGAATTATAGATAACTGTAGTCCGGTTTTATTTGCTTATTTCTGATCAACAACTAATGTAGAAATTATTATATAATTACCGCTACAGAGGTGACCGGACGGACCATTCTGTTGACAGTTGAGAGAGAACACGATCAACCGCGGGATATTTAACAAAAAAATACCGCAAAATTCAGTGCGGTCAATATGACCGTCTATGGCCGAAATAGGTAAATATGTTCATTTTTTTTGTTTTGCCTTACGTTTACGTAACTTAATTTATATGAAAAGCATTTTAAATGAAAATACAGACAATTTTAGGAAAAGTCAGGTACCAGCAGGATTTTATTATTTTTTTCAACAAAGTTATTATAGATATAAAATTCAAAACGGTCAAAATGACCGTTGTGGCCGTTCTAGTGTTAACGTCAGTTAGGTGACGGGTTAGGTTTAGGGTTAGGTTTAGGTCTGGGGTAGAGTTAGGATCCCATAACCTCATCTACCGACGTTTAAGGGGGCCCTAAAAAGGCGAATATTGACGTATGGTCAAAAGACGTCCCAAAACGTCAGTTATATGACGTCTTGGGATGAGACCGGGTTGGCAAATAAGGCTATAGTCTCCTGATTCCAAGTTTATTCCATTAAATACCATTCTAATTGTTCTCCTTCGTCTTCGTGCCTGTTTCCACTACACGTCATGTAATAAGGGCACAATAAATAAAAAGGGCACAATAAAAAAAACAAAAACAAAAAAACAAACAAACAAACAAACAAACAAACAAAAAAACAAACAAATGAAAGCTGGAAATCAAACCCTTTCAAAATATGTTTTAATTTCTTTTCTTAGCTTGCTGGTAGCAAAAGTTACGTTTCTCTAAACGGTTGAACACTGTGATTTTTAGGAATGGAATTCTGAGAAAAACATGTTTAATTAACTGTCACCGACCCGTTACTTATGTGGTGTATTTTGATAGGTAAACTATCTTTGTAGTTTTTAGAGACAGGTATGGTGGGTTTCTTTTTTTTGCATGTCCACCGGGCATTAGATAAATTTATTCAGTAAATACATTTCAGCTTGCTACTATAAATCACTATTTTTTTTACACTAAACAATGGAATTTTGCCAAAAATATTTTCAGAGATAAGAGACAAGATGACAATAATAATTATACAATACAATAGACATCTGACGGCTTTTCCTACCCTATCTCACGACCAATTCGTACGAATTCGTACGAGTGATTAAAAAGTGGCTAATTCGTACGAATTCGTACGACCTCACTCGTACGAATTCATACGATTTGTCTAAACCCACGTGATGTTTAGGGGCGGGGTCAGGGGTAGGTCATTCGTACGAATTCATACGAATTGGCCAATTCGTAAAATATGTACGATTTAGCAAAAATCGTACTAATTTGTACGACTGAGGTCGTATGAATTGTTACGAATTAGCCACCTCGTAAAATTCGTACGAATTCCCGTGAGATCGGGTTGGCTTTTCCCAGATTGCATCATCTACAGTATAAAAATATGAAGGAATTTTTTTAAACAGGTGTTTACCTATATTTTGAACTATATGTACTGCAATGTGTTATGTTTTAGGGTAAACAGAAATTTCCGTAAAATGACAATGTCCTGTCAGAAAATGACCAGTACATTCTTATCTTTTAACAAGCCATAAGTGAACATACAGCTGAGGTATTTCAGCACAATCAGGCGTACAGCCTGTGGAAACTCCATGCTGATAATTTAGAGTCATGCCCCTGTTTTTAAAGTCTGTTTTAAAAAAAATAAAAATAAACAAATAAAACACACCTTGAAGATTACAGGAGCATGGAGAACATTTCATTGGACATGCATGACTTCCATGACAATGTGATGCAATTAGATATTCTATAAGTGTCAGAAAGACTCAGAAACAGTATTTATTTTTGGTTCAAAACATTACTTTTAACTGTTTTCTTTTTTTTTCTTTTTGCCTCAAAGCCATACTTCACCTCTCTTTCATCTGCCTCTGTCTCTCTGTGCACACATACTCAAATCTCTCTCAAAGTTGAAGCATTGCCAATGACCTCAACAACAAAGAAGCTTTAACTAGAGCTTGTGTTTGTTTTATTAACAACATTCAAGCGAAGCACGTTCAGATAATTAAAACGAGAGGAGTGCACTCAACAATCAATGATAAGAGGTGTATAAAGACTCAACAGTTTCAATCCATTGATAATTTAGCAGCACCCCTCCACCGCCCCTTCTCCACACTTCTAGTCCTAACTACTTGGGGGAGTACTCTGGGTTAGGGCCAAAATCCAAGCTCAGAGCCCTTCCCCCGGACAGCACGCCAAATACGTATTAAACTTTACCCCCTCTAATTATATGTAAATGTGAACTTCTGAATTGTCTGAGATAAAATCTGCACACATTCAAAGCTCAAATTTAATTGCTCATGTTTTACAGCTGGGCATTCAACACATTCTCATCCCAAGGTGTCATATACGACGCTTTTGTCAAAACGTAGACATCCAACGCACATGGCACCCTTTAGCGTCAATATAACACGCACAGAGTATGGGTAGGTTTAGGTCTGGGGTAGGGTTAGGGTTAGACCACTAGGAGGCGCCTTCGGCCCCATTTATATTTGCATCTCATATTGACGCTAAAGGGTGCCTTGTGCGTTGGATGTCTACGCTTTGGCAAAAGCGTAATATGACGCCTTGGGATGA